AGTCCACTTAAGGGTCCAAAATCCTTCTGTCAGATCTGGTCTGAGCACAATCAGTACACTCAACAGGAAGAATAGAAACATAGAATCATTTAGATTGGAAATTATCTTTAAGGCTATTGAGTCCAACTGTTAACTCAGCACTTCCAAGTGCACCACTAAACCATGTCTCTAAGCACCGCATCTACACGTCTTTTAAATACATCCAGGGGTGGTGATTCAGCTGCTTACCTGGGCAGCCTGGTCCATTTTAATCAAATTACAACATGGCATAAAACATATAAAATAAAAAAAAAGAAAAAAAGTTAGGACTCTACTCACAGAAATATGTATTGTTTCTATAAAAGGGAGATAGAAATAAGATTTAGAATAAAATTCAGAAATCATAACTTTTGTGGCCAATAACATGTTAATGCCCAGCCATAACTCTAGGTATTTAGCCAAAAAAATTAGTAGTAAGAGGTATTTTAAGACATGAACTTCTAACACGTCACAAGGATAGCAACATTTTATCTGAAGCAAGGAAATTTGTTTTTTATAGTAACAAAATTTCTAGAATACCCACTGTGAAGGTGACAGTACGGTTTCTTCAGTAGCCTATAGAAGGTCAAACACCATCTTCTGAGCTCCGTGAATTGCATTCTGAGCAGCAGGATGTACATCAGTTTCGAGCAAAGTTACTTATTTCTTTGTTAAGAGGCTCTCCAAGTTTTATCCAAACACTCTTTTACATAAAATTCACGTGAGTGCTTGGCCTAGGGGCTATAACTCAGCTCCCTCTTTTCAGGTAAATCCCTGATCACAAAGATGCATCGCACCCTTTTATGTCAATCGAGTCCCTCTCTACTAACCAGCTCCCCCCAGGCATCTCTGAGGGCTTCATAGAAAGGCTGGGAGTGACAAAAAGAGGAGAGCTCTCCAAACATCATTGACTAGAAAGTGACCAAGAAAGTCTTCCACTTCCACAGCTGTTTCATCATAGAAGAAAAAAATAAGGCTACTGTACTATGGGAAAAAAACAAACAAACAAACAAACAAAAAAAAAACCAAAACCACCAAAAACCCCGAAAACAACCCCACCTTTCTTCTTCTTCTTCAGAAGATGATTTTAGGATCTGACAGGGAAATAACAGAAGGCATTTCTGCTGCCTGTAATCAGATACAGTAAGTCCAAGAAAGGAGAACTATTTGAGATTTTTCTTCACGCTTTACATTCTGATGGCTAACTAGGTAGACCTTCTTTATGTTACTTTGAAGGATTCCTTTATGGGGAATTTAGGATCCTTCCTAAGGTTCTGGAATTCACTCTTAGTTCAACTTCATAACATGAAGTAAATGTTAGGTATCAAGTGCATTATTAACATTGACCCTAGGTGATTAATGTAAGATGTCAAAATGAATCAGTAGATGGACAATTGAAAGATGTCAAATTTTCTGAATCTGGTGCTCCTTACAGCAACAGTGAATACTTATGAACAGTGATACTTATGAAGGAGACTCATCATTCTCTGTAATAGCTGTAACCAGATCAGCAGCCAGACCTTGTCAGCCAGTTGCTCTTGCAAAAGGAAATTCATATGGTAATATGCAGTATAACTCCTCTGTGGATAGAAGCTACATATACAAGGATTCATCTTAACATCTAGAACAGAAGGAAGGCCTTTTTAGACATTATAAATATCAGCATTCATCACTGTATGTAAGTAGATAATTAGGGTAATTATTCCTAATTAGCAGCTGCAAGCCCTGCAGATGGGAATTTCAGGGGCTGGTAACTATTGTAAGGTAGAATTTCTGCAAGTTGCAAAGCCCTTTCCATATTTTGGAAGATGTATATTTAATCACCCTCATATATGATGTTAAATGTTTTTGTTAATATCTCAAAATAAAAATCTTTCCTGCACTTACATAATGCTTTTGCTTTTCTTTAAAGCTGTGTTGGGGTTTGAGATAGCCTGGATTTGGAAAGATCTTTCCAAGTATTTAACCTATCAGCTCAAGTAAATGAAGACCTAGGCTGACCTGAGGCTCAAATTTTGCTTCTATTCTCAGTCCATGAGGAAAAACGATGTCAAGGGCCCTTTTTTTTTTTTTTTTTTTTTTTTTTTCTTTTTTTCTTTTAATTATTATTTTGAAGATAGCAAAAAGACTCCAGCTATTCTCCAAAGCTCTAGATGAAACCTTCTGAGAAAACACATGGTCAAACTTCCTCACCAGGTTCCAGAAGCATTTTCACTGCATTCACTGTATTGTGCTCCTTTGAATGGCTTAAGGACAAAAAATAAAAATAAAATAAAATCCAACAAAACCTAGATATTTTAATTGTGAATAATGTTGTAACAACCATAAATGCTTCTATGATAGCCAATGAGTTGGTCTGATTAGAAAAGGATTCTTGTTGCCTTGTGTGCCATGAGCACATCACACCATAAATGGAGCAGGACATCTTTGGTTTTTAGCTTTGGTCTTTAGCTGTTATGTGAATTCATATAACTTATGAATACAGACAGCAAAAGAAATGCAATCAACAGAAACAGTAATGCACTTAACTGTAATGTTTGTCCTTATCACAGTGAAGAAGTTTAATTTTTTAGATACTTTAATGTACAGAATCAGTCATTCCTATCTTTTAAAATAAGATTGCAACTTCAATCAACAAATAAGCCTGTGTTGTACTCATTTAAATCCAGTCCTTATCTAATTATTTGAATATGGAATTTCAGGCAAAATAAAGTTGAGAAAGTAATCATTTTCTGCATTTGAGTAAGTAAAAGGTTATTGATCAATGTCTTTTTAAACTTTCTATTTAATTATCTTTGAAGTAAAATGAAGGAAAGAAGTTTCAAGCCTAAATAATCATTCTGTGAAAAAGTTATGAGGGGATTTTTTTAGAAAATAATATTAAGACATGATAATTCAGCTCTAGTACTGAAAGTTTAACAGCACACCCTGTAGTGGGCCTATGTAGATGCCAGTAACTGCTTTTTTGACATTTGGATTTTGTCTTGAGCCATGCTGACATACATTTGATAAAGAATATTTAAAAATAAGAGTATGTTTGTATGATATCAAGTAATAAAATAGCTCTCTAATTCAGATTTTTACAGCTGTTAGAGTTGTCAGCTGTAGATTAAAAAATTAAATGCTGAATTTAATGTATACATATTTAGTATTTTAAGCAACTAGCTATGACTACTATGACTACATGTAAATGATCTTTTAGGTCTCATAGAATCATAAAAAACATTCCTGCAACATCAATTTTATATATATTAGGTCTGAGAAAAGAAATGAGAATGATGTATCACACTTACAGCCTTCAAGTTTGGGAAGATTTTCGATGCTTCCTTTCCAATCACCATCCAAAGCTGAATAATGTGAAAAGTTTGTTTCTTTGCAGGATGTTACCATATTTCACTTAGATTCATGCTCTGTCCTACTACTTTGTATAAGAACACGACATATTTTTTTCTCTGATAGTTACCTCTAACATTTTTCTGATATGTGCAATCTTTTTCATCTCTTCTTATCAGACTTCATCTTTAGTATTTTTTCTCTTTTTTCTGTCTTAAGCTTGGGTTTTTAAATTTAATATCTCTATATTTACTTGTTCACCCCCTTTTAAATCTTCATTTCTCTCTTAATCCCTTTTCAGGACTCAAAGCCCCAGCTCTGTTCACCTGGTGTGTGGGGCTAATTCATCTGTCTTGAAAGGGCTGTAGATGGCAAGCAGGTCATGTTAATTTTTTAACCCAGTCTCCAAGACTGCTGAAACCAATGGGAGCATTTGCTTCAGCTCCACAGTGAACTCTGTCTGCAGAAGCTTTCAAGTAGATTTCACTTGAAAATCTTTATTTGACATCCTGCTTTGTAGAAACTACTAAATATATGTCTAATTGAGATTTCACACTTACAGTATATTAGTAAATAAAGACATTAAACTGCTTAATATAGATGGAATCATAATGTTGATAAAGGATTTGATGCTGCCAAGGGCATCTGCCTTAGTCCACTGATGAACTCTGTCGTATCCTGCTTTTTAACTGTGAGTCCTTATAATGAAATACAGAGAGTTGCCTATATCTTTAAAACAAATTAAATGCATAAGTGTGTTTCTGGATTAGAGCCAGAGGACTCAGCACCTTGGAAGATTCAATTAAAAAAAAAAAAAAAAAAAAAGCAATACTGGCAGAGACAGGCGGTGTTTAATCATAAGCATTGAAACAAAACTGATTTCACTTTGGATTGAAGAATCTACTCCTGCTCAATTCTTTGGTAATTTGGGGTGCAGAGAGATTTCCATCCACCAGCTGTGGACTATCTGACTACCAGTCTTACTGTTTGGAAATCCACTTGAACTGCATAAAGGCAACTGCAATCCTGCAACCACTTGTATTATTTAACTGGTTGAATTTCTGATATATTACAGTCTCTATCAACCATTTTGCAGCTTCTAAATAGAAAAAAGACAAATTACCACTTTTTTCTTTTTTTTTTTTCCACAGAAGTTTGCCCTAAATCCTAATCCTATCTATTTATGCCAAGATCATGGCTTAGTTTATCTGAAATACACCATTCTCCTCCTTGAAAGCTCCTTATAAGGACTGCTGGTAATAAAACCCAAAGTGCTCAGCTTTCAATGAGTTTTAGGTCTAAGATTCCTGATTAACGTACTGCTATGAGATGAAAATCTATGTGCAAACTTCAAGCTGCTTCCTGCAGTTTAGAGCATGTCTACAAATAGATATTGCAGCTCAGCTCACAATCCATGACTTCATTGTTCCTTGGGTTCTAACATTTATAAACTGAAAATTTCCAACTCTGAAGTTGAAATCAAATGGCAAAATCATTTAGGGTTCTTGGAAATCTCTTTATAAGCCATCTGTTTCTGAAGAATAAAAAATTCATTACTTGTCTTTGTAAAATGAATAATGGAAGGAAGTATTTAAACATATGAAAAGAATAAACCACATCCTGTGTGTGTGTTTTGTGGTCCCTATTAGGTACCTCAGGATGAATGGGGAGGATACCCAGCTGGTGGGAAAGATGAAGAGATCCCATGCAGAAGAATGAGAAGCGGGAGCTATATTAAGGCCATGGGAGATGAAGAAAGTGGAGATTCTGATACTAGCCCCAAGACATCGCCAAAATTATCCGTTCGACCAGAGTCATTATTAAAATCCATTGGGCAAAGACCACTGGGAGATCATCAAAAGTAAGCTTCACTACACCTTTCTGGAAGTTGTCATGGCTTGGATAACTTCTCTTTGTGTCTTATGGGCAATGGTCAGCTTCCATAGGAAAAAAAAATCTGTAGTTTAAAAGGTAATTTTTTGTCTTCATTTTGACTTAGTTACAGTTTCTTTTGGTTACTGGATGAAAACCCGACATCTTCTTCCATCTATGAAATAAACCTTCTACTTCTGAATTAGTTTGTTATGTTTACTGAAGGAAATGTGTACATATTGTATGACAAAAGTTCAAAGTTCTGGGGTTTTTTTTCTCTAGAAGGATTGGTTTATATTACAATTTTTGTTATTTCGTTGCTTTCTCTGAAATAGAGGATATACTCTATTCTATATTAGATATAATATTAAATATATAATTGTACCATATATTGAGCATTTTACACCTTTTTTATCCGTGTAATGCTTTATGTATCAGCTATACTGTGTCTCACTCATTTAAACACATTGTGGAGGATTTTGTTTACTGGGTTATTTTTCATTCATACTACCAACAATATGGCCTATTAAATAACTAAAGCAAATCTTAAAACTACAGGGAAGTATGTAGCTCTATATGTTTTCCAATAGATCTTTATTTTCCTCTCCCTTTTAATTTTATTTGTAAACTGTAAATATTCTTGTGAGGAGAGTTTCAAAGTGGTAGCCTGATTTAAAATCTGCAGATTCTATTAATTTGACTGGATGTTTCTTATGGCTTAGCAAATTTATCTTTTTCTTGGGATATAAACTAAAGAAATTAGGAGTGAAATCTTGGACCAAGTGTTATGTTTTGTTCTGTAGGTAATACCATATGGTTTACCATAGTTACTCACCTTTTCATAAAACAAAATAAAGCGAAAACCATAGGCAAAAATCCTTATGGCTTAATTAAATTGAATTATTTGCCTTGTAATCTGCAAGAAAGCCACCAATTTTCACTATTATTGAAGAGTTTCCAACTTCATTGTTTCATATTGTACTGGCCCAGCCACTGCCTGGCTGAGTTCTGGGCACTGTTGTAGGCCAGTGATCATTCCCAGAGACAGTTTGGTTGCAGCCATTCCAGTTTTGGAGGGGATGTCTTATCTTATTCATGCCACAAACTGAAATATTTTTTAGGCACTGTTCTAACTTTCCAAGTACTTAGACCAAATAAAATATATTCTATGCTGTTCTTTGTTTCCAGCTATGGTTGGGCCTCCCACAAGGGAATCTGAGTAGCAGCACAAATTTTCCAGTGAGTGACAGGTCTTGGTGCCTGCCCTAGACCACTACAGCTTATAAACAGATTCAGACAGCAATTAAACATAACTAAACATACATATTCAAACAAGCAATATATTTCAAGAAAGAAAGTATTCCTGATTTGTTAAATCATGAAGGCAAGTGGTTGTTAGTGGGCCAATACCAAATGTTGTGTCTTCTGTCATTTTTCCATGTATTGCAAATTCACCACTCAGAATTTAATTGATTAAAGCACAGGTGCACTGCTGATGCATGTACTGGGCTTGACAGCCGTGCTTGTTCATGGCCCCAGAGGATTTCATTACATAGTTACCACTAACCAGTCAGAAAAGGAGGAAGCTTTTTGTAATACTGTAAAATATTATTAGGGGTTCTGTTGAAAATTTGTCACTAGCACTGCACTAAGAATAACTGAGCAGCCAGACTGCCCCTGATGACAGATATCTTTTAAGTCCTCAGTTTTTCCTTAAACTGTAAGGCAACACCTTGAATCTGCCAGCCTAACATTCATGGGTTTTTCCAGTGGACTTCAACAGAAATGTGACAACTATTCTGGTTCTTGTAAGTCTTTCTTGCAAAAATCTACAGATTTCAGCAATCCTAAAGGCAGATAGAAAATTTCTTGTGGCACAGAAATACAAAGTGTTGATCCTAAACTTGGATTTTCACCACAAGACATCTCCTCCCAGTATATCTGTCTCCTGTCCCTGTGGTTGCCTTTTCTGTCTGGCAGATATCTATGAAGGGTATAGCAGTGGATAATGGTTATGGAGCCTTCCTTCCTCCCCCAGCACGGCTCAGTAATCCCACTGCATGCTGAGCACCATTTGTACCTCTGATTTGAACCAGAAGCCAGGGCTTTGAACAGCATTCCTGCATGTATAGCAGGGCTGAACAGCATTTCTGGCATGTGTTATGAGAAATTACATAATTCAAGATGTCAGCTGCATTAGCTGGTTATTTAGCTTGTTTACCCAGATGGAGGGAGCTAGTGCACAGAAATAAAATGGGGGTTTCATTCTCTTACTCCTCTGCTGGGGTGACAGGGTAGCTCAGAACTGGGGTCTGCCAGGCCACCAGTAGACTTGTGATAAAAGCTGAATATTTATAGTTTTGGCAGTATAAAAACATTTATTGGCTGCAAAACAAAAGTAGATGGATTTCATAAGAAAAAGCCTACTTTTCCTTCACTATCCTGAACACGATAAAATGAAAATCAGAGCAGCCTTCACTTAACCTTCAACAGATGTTTGACACGCGTTTCTCCTCTGAGTATTATTAGGCATCTTTGTAAGGACTTTTTTTCCCATTTAAATTCTGTTTATGCTTCAACAAAAGTAAGCCCTATTTTACTGGTTTGTGTTGCTCAAAGATCCAGCAAATTGAATATTAGAAGTTTCTTAACAATAAAAATGCATTTTTGTGTCTGAATAAATAAATACAAATAGATAAATGTAAATGAAATAGCACAAGCATTAAAATTCTGAAATAATATTTTTAAGTTGCTTTTGGAAAGGAGTATATTTTACTCCAAGTTGGGGAAAAAAAAAAAAAAAAAAAAAAAAAAAAAGGAAGAGCATAGTCTGCCACTGCTGGTTTGTAAAGGTGACAGAAGCAGGTCATACACTCAACCACAGCCGTCTGATCACCACCTCTGGCAGAGAGATGGCACAGCCAGCAGCATGCCCAGCCCACCTCCAGCCTGGGCCCCCTGTCTCACCTCTGCATAGTGCCAGGATATGGTTCAGGGACCAGCTCTGTCGGATGCAGCCACTCACTCTGTAGGGCAGGAAAGATTGGCCAAAGGGTCAGGTAATGGACCTGGCTTTTTTCTGAGCATAGCTATAGCATAAAGGGGCCATTTTTTTCTGGACTTTTCAAAAAATAAATGCACCTAAATATCTAGATTACTCACTGAATATAAATGAATTGCAATTCTTTCTTTATGTTTCAAAAAACTAAATAGTATGTTGCAGTACTTAGTCCAATAACATCAAGTTGAAGCCAGTGTAATTTATTAGTATTATTAGGAAATTGCATTTGAGCAAATTATAATGCAATCAGACTTGTTGTGGTGGAGACAGGATACATACCTGAATCTACTTCCTTTTAACTTTTTGTTTTCTTGGAATGGTGCCAGAAGTCCTGTTTAATGTGGAAATTATGTTGATTTCCAGTAGCCCTGGGGGAAAAAAAAATTACTATTGTTTTTTGGGGTTTTTTTTAATTATTTTTCATTGTGATTATACAAAATTGTTCAGATGTCAATTTTGGTATGCTAGAAGTGAAATGCACGTCCTTCTATTCAGTCCATTGTTTTCTGCTGTGCTGTGATGCTACTGAAGATGAAGTTAAACTGTGTTGGAAGGCAGTAGTTTGTAGAAGGTATGTCATATGCTGCTGGGCATTTTCTTTGACATTCAATATCATTAATCAACTGAACAGTTTATGGAATGGATAGCTGAAACAAAGGGTGTGTGTGTCCCTGTCCTAAATAAGCATCAGAGACACTGGGATCCTGAAAGCAAAGTTGAAAATAAAACAAGAATTTTGTACTCTGGAATAGGAGAGTAATTCTGAAAAACTGAATATAATATGGTTATTTGAAGCTTTTCATTTTCAGGAAAAAAGTACTTAATATACTGATTATGTAAATTAACAGAATAACACTGTAGAAATAGCAAATTCCATTTTCAGTATCTCTTTTTTGAAGTGTTATGAAAGACTCTGAAAACCATCTCACCATTTAGTCAAAAGTGATAACAATAGCATTTAGCCCAAAGTAAATGCACTCTGTTTGAAGATCATACTGGTATCACTCACACAAATGAAGAGTCATGCTGTGCTGAAGTTTTCCATTATGCTCTGAAGTGACTCATAGGAAATTATGAAGATGAAACAGGTTAAGCCACTGTAAAATAAATTCAGTGACAGCAATATCTACTTTTGTTTTGTAAACCTCTAATGGCAGACTTTTCTTTTTCTGGTAGTCCAGACACCTTAAGCTGATGGGTGGGCAGACAGAAAAGCATGTAAACACAAAGGTAGTACAAAAAGGTAGTGTTTCAGTGGGGAAGGGAAACTGCCATAGTACAATTTGGCAAACTACAACAGTAAAATGCCAGTGATACTTCAAGTTGTCTTGACAGCCCAAGATTAAATTTTTCTCTTAATACTCTGCCAGATTTTGGCCACTGTATGGAATGAGTATCTTAAATTATGAATCACACTCACAGGGAGAGAGCATCTGTGCCTCCCTCAGATGTTTAGCATCTTTGTTTTGTGGGTTGTTTACACCCATAGCACACCTGAAGAGCACGATGCATGTCCATATTTCAGCCACTCTTACTCACAGCCTGGTGAGTCAGCACTCAACACAAACACTTCATTCAGTATTTTAAGTTAATACGTCTCAAACCTGAAATGGTTGACGTGTTTTCTAGGCTTATAGTAAGCCAGAGCAAAAGAATGATCTTTCACTGCTCTCCCTCTTTTCAGAGAGATTGCATCTATCCATGGCCACACTAACTTAACGCTTATCTGGACTGTTATCCAAGGCATGTACCTTCTGTTCTGCAGACTTTATTATGGCAACAAAAATGTTGCCAAAGCACACAGCAAAGGGATTAAACCTCAACCAGATCTGACAGCACTTAGCTGCCAGATCCCTTGGCTCAGCAGAAATCATGGAATAGCACAGACTCTTCTAAGACACAAAAAATCTTTCCATTTACAAGCATTTGTGGTAACCATAACATGCTGACAACATTAGAAAGCAAAAGAGAAGTTTGGAAGCAATGCATAAGACCAGCCCTGTGGGTTTTCATCCATCTTTGCCCATGACAGTGCAGACTCCACTATTCTTTAGTGCCACACAAATTTGTGGGTCTTTTCTCCTAAGACACACCCCTTGGCAAGTGCACGCAGAAAAAGCTGTGGGTAAGTGTGCACATGTGGGGGGTGGTGTGCAAAAATGTCATAGATTGAGAGTTAAAGCACACCTTCCTTGCTAGAGAAATTAGTGTCCTCTTTCAACATTATCCATTGCTGTGCACCAGTGATCCAAGCCTTTTTTTAATTTTTAAGGTAAACTTCAATTTGCCATTAGCTCTTGTACGTTTTAAATTAGGAATGGTTTTGAAGCTACTCCTGAGAAATATTTGTAATAGAAGAGATGAGGAAAATCACTAGAAAAGGAGCCCTCATCTTTTATATGCTTTTTATTTATCGTTGGGGTTTTTTTTTCCTCAATCTTCTGACTCTAAAAAGCCTCATTACACACTTCATTAGTATCTTTCTGAGGCCCTATAGTGTAGTAGCATCTACTCAGAGTCTCTGAGGGGTGAAATTGGAGATTTACTGAGGAGAGTTTGAGGGCTAATTACAAAGCCTTATCAACTAATAATGTAATCAGAGGGCCACTGGCATGGTGATAGTCTTCTCTGCTGCAGTCAGTAAGATCTGGGTTAGATTAGGCTGCAGGGTTAAGAGGGAATGCTGATGAAGGGCAGACAGTCACCTGGCTACCTAGGAAACATCTTTTGTGGGGTCAAAAGATATCCCCAGCTTTTCTTCCTTTGCAGAATAATAGCAAATGCTCTTAAGTGTTTGGAATCTTGTTCTCTGAGGAGCAGCATGGTGTGAAACACAGGGAGTGACTGAGCCCAGATCTCCTGCCTCATTTTAGTAAATACCAGCTTTATGTTGTAGGGCTGAAATGTATTACCCTGGATTAGGGATGGAAGGGGAATCCTAAGGCTCTACACAAATTCCAGAGTCTTTTCAGGAATAAAGCAGGATTTTCTCAGGAAAATGCAATTTAATGATGGATTGTGGTGAAAATGCAGTAAGATTCAGGTCAATATAACAAGCACAAATAGTGACATCCAAGGAAAAATATGCTTCTGTTTTTTGGTGCCTATTTGTTTCTGCTTCCAACAAATATGTTAGTTTTACTTTTCATTTGAAAAGGATAAAAAGCTGATTTTCTCATTTGTTTAGTTTTCAATAAAAACTAAGTAGGACTATAAAGGATGTATATAAAGGATATAAAGGAAACACATCAAATCCTTACTTCTTCAGGTAAGGATTTGAAAATTAAGATGCTTTTGGTTAAAAAACCAGAAATTTTGTATGTGTGTGGGTATATATATATATACATATTCACTTTTCCCAATTCTGCTGAATTGCTTCTCCAGAAATTACATAGCCTCATTAATATCTTCAACTTCAGCATGAAGGTCACTTATTTTCCTTAGATCTACTGGTTTTAATGGATTTACATGTGTGCTTAAATTAAGCTCATGCTCTGATGCTTTAATGAGTCCTGATAGCGTGTTGTCTACACTTATTCTACCGAATTAGACTTTTTGCATGTGTACATGTATATGCACCAAAAGCAAAAAGAAAAAAAAAAAGTGAGATAGCTTCCTGAGGAAATTAATGAATGTTTCAATTCCACAAATAGATTTAGAAACATATATCCAATATTTGAGTTCTGCTTAGATCCATAGACCCATTTACTGAACTGATTACATGATACTTTAAATGCCCTTTGAGTTTTTGGCATAGCATTAGCCCGAATTTTGTTGATGCTGACCATCTTGTTGCCTGCTTGCCAGGGCAAGCTCAATATATGTTATAGGAACAACTTTTAGGATTAGCTATAGATTAGCTATATGTGTAAATCTGTCACATTTTTGAAAGTTTAGAGTTTAGGTTTCTTGTAGCCTACTTTTTTTATTACAGGAACATTTTGAGCGATTTGGAATACAGGCTTGGTTGAGCCTACATCCTCTCTGTCTTTGCAAGGAGTGATCAAACCACCAGACTGTTTAACGATTCTGATGATTTCCTCTCATTCTCTTCTGGTTCATGTTGTACCAAATCCCTAAACACTTACTGACAGTAAGAGTTCTCTCCTACTAGTGATCAGTAGGCATTTCATAAGGATAGAGACAGCAGTCTCCACCTCTTTCCTAACATATTCCTGTAATAATGTTCAATATCTTTCAGGCACACTTTTTAAAAAGGTATGGGTCAATGATGAACTATCTAGGCACCTAAAGTATTTCATTTGGCCCCATTTCTCATATCTCCCAGTGATCAAAGAGAATCTTTAGACTGGCAAATATTAGAAAAGGAATTCTTTGCTACAGATGAATTTATGAGATTTATGTGCACTTTTGGTTTTCCAAAGAGCCAGACTAAATGTGCTATTCAAAAGGGAGAATCAGACTTAATGTCTACACTCTGAGCTCTCCAATGGGCTGCATGCAGGCACATCTGGGTGCCTTTGCAGAGCTCTATTGACTCCAGCAGGGCTCCATGGAGATGCAGTGTGACTCGCAGCTGCTGTACAATGGCTCTGCTGGCTAAGCTTAATCATTAGATTCTGGTCGATGAGTTATTTCATGTATCTAGAAAGACATAGTTAAGATAGGTCCAGATAGAGAAATGAATATCCATTGAAATGCAAATCTCTCAATAAAATAGGTTTTGATAACTGCCGCTACTTTGAAAATTCTAATGCACCTCCCTTTTAGGCACCCAAGATGAATTCTGTTATAAATTTTATCTTTTTGTCCCAGAAAGATACTTCTGAATTGCCTATACTGATTTGAACAGAAGTGATTGTAC